ATGAATTATGAAGGGTTCATGAGGGAGGGGGGAGGGGGAAAATGAGCAAATGATATTAAGGGCTAAAGTAGAGGGCAAATGTTTTGAGATTGATGAGGGCAACAAATGTACATATGTGCTTGACTCAATGGATGTATGTATGGACTGTGATAAGAATTGCACGAGCCCTCAATAAAATAATTTTAAAAAACTTTATGTATTAAATATGCAGTTTGATGAATTTTCCAACGTTGAGGACTGCACTTTTTACACTCTGTTGCAGTTGCTTGTGATTCTAATTGATCTAGAATCCCGGCCTGACATAGAAATGTTTATTTAGTATTTGTTGACTGACTGAATGAGGTAAAGTCCAAGGGATCACGGAGCAGCACAAGGCGGCAGGCGCGGAGAGAACCAGAGTGGGGCGTTTACTAAAACTGAATGCAAGCCAAGCGCACAGGTTTGACAGCAATGAGGAAGATTGTTATCCAGCAGCTCACTCCAAGGCTCTGCTTTTCCGTTTACTGACTGCTCCTCTAACCCTCTTTGTGCCCCGCCTTTTCCACGCCCACGATCCCATTCTTAACTGTGGCCCCGCCCTTTCTTCACCAGTCTATTTGCCTAGTTCCTCCTCTAGCCCCGCCCTCCAGGTTCTATCCTGTCTTTCAAAAACCTGGACCTCCTTAGGTCCTGCTCCTGCCCTCTCTAGCGATCTTCCTTCCTGAGGCTCCGCCTCCACCTCGCGGGCCTCCGCCTCCCCAAAGGTTTTTGCCTATGACAGCCCTTCTGAGGGGCGTGGTTTACAGTGTGAGGGGGCGGAACTTGGAGAGAGGTGGTACCTCTTTCACGAGGAATTCCGTCTGTAGCCCCGCCCCTGTGCTCTGCCGTTGCCAGGAAACAAGCGTCGACGCTTTGCCTGTGGATGGATACAGCCAATGAGCAGGCACGCCATTGCTTACTCGTGCGTCGTTGGGCGGTTACGTGTGGTGCGCGGGGGCGCGGGCTGCGTGTGGCGCGGGGCGGGGCGCGGCTGGTACGCCTAAGGAGCGATGGCGGCGGCCTGAACTCACCTAGCACCGCCGCGGCTTACGGGCCTGGCCAGGTTCCGGTTCTACGAGTGAACCGTAGGTGTACGCCGGGGCCCCGCGAGAGGCATGTGAGGGCATGAGGGACCAGGGAGTGACAGCCCCTGGCTTGGTGGCTGTATTGGTTGGGAGGGAAGCGGGTGATGGACTGGCAGGTGATGAGGGGACAGGTATCTGAAGCACGAGAAAAGGTGAAAGCCTAGGAGTGAGCGGGCAGGTAAGGGACTAAGTTGTATGAAGATCTCGGGATGCTTTTTTAAGGGGCCAAGTTGAAAGGACTTGTGTACACGGCTTAGTAAAAGGTTGGCGCTCTTGAGGGCAGGGGCGAGGGACAATCCTGTTACCGAACGAGGGGGGGAAGGCCTGTGCAGAGAGGAGGGGGAGGAGAAGGAAGAGGTAAGTGAAAGCTGAAGGCGGAAGCTTGGGGGAGGGGGTGGTGGTGGTGAAATTGGTAGTGGGTTGCATGCAGGGGTGGGAGGAGGGAATGAGGATTGATATTTCGACGAGGCTGAAAGATTGGTTCTGAGGCCTCTTTTGATAGACTGGCTTGCCCAGTGACAGCAAGAATTTTAGGCTTAGTAGGACAGCTTGGGTGGAGATGTTTTGCAATGAGCCCCATGCTCCCTGGGCCTCTGCTTGTTCTGGAGGCCAAAAAATGGAGGTGTCACGGGCAGCAGTAATGAAAAGCATTTAGGGAGCCGTTTGAACAGAGAGAATGATTGGAATATTAGTTCTTAAGTTCCTCCGTTAAGGTGGTCTTTCTCATGTGGGGGTGGTGTGTGTGTGTGTGTGTGTGTGTGTGTGTGTGTGTGTCTCCACCTGCTCCAGGCAGCCTTTACTCCCCTGCTACTCCTTACTTGTGCTGAGCTGTGGGGCTTTGGTGATTTCTATTGCATAAAGGTAATTCTACTTTCATTGAGGTCACATGATTTGCCACATATAGCACCATATTTAGGCTCCCATGTAGGGTGGCCTTGTTTTTATTTTCCTGTAGTTAAAACATTGTAAAGTGATTACTGAGCATTTTCATCACCCCTCAAAGTTGGTATCCCTCTAATTCATTCTTCCATCCATGCCCTGTTACCAGGTTCACTTTTTTCGTGTTTTATAGCCACCTACTCTCACTCTCAACCTCACCCTACCCTCATACACATGAAAAAAATGGAAACTTTCTGGAAAACTAGGTTGCTGTTCAGTGATAATGGCCACTTCCACATTACTGATTTTTCATATGTATTGGCAGTCAGCCATCAAGTCTGTAGAGGCTTTGACTTTCTTCAGCCTCAGGAAGAGTTAGGGACTTTCCTATCAAGACCTCTCCCTGAGAATTGAAGACAGTGGCCAATCTGTTCCAGCATCAATGTTAGAGCTAGCCGTTCTGTGGTGCGTTTTCACTGCTTTTCTCAGGAGACCAAACAGGTCTTCATGCTGGTAGAATCTTGACAACCTGCCAGCAATCCTGTAGGATCCACATGTATAAAAATAATTTAGAGCAGTGGTTCCTGTACACTGGGCCAAGGCCAGTGCTACTGGATGGTAAAGTTTTCAGCTATAAGGAGAAAAATGAAGACAACATAGTGTTTCATACAACTCACTCCCTGCCATCAGGTTGATACTTACTCATAGTGAGCCTATAGGACAGGATAGAATTGCCCTGTGAGTTTCCGAGACTGACTGGAGTTGAAAGCTGTGTCTTTCTCCCTCAGAGCTGCAGCTGGTTGCGCACTGCTGACCTTTGGATCGCAGCCCAACTTGTAACCACTATACTACCAGGGCTCGTTTTTTAGAGTTTCATAAAGACAAATTTATCCTCAGATTATCAGTCATCCTGTTTTGGTGTTAAAGTGTTCCCTCCCCTGATAAACTAATGGTGACAGTAGATTGTGGATTTAAGTAAAAAATTGTGTTATTTGCCAACATAAAAAATGACAGTCCTCTTCTTTCATTATTACTTAAAAAATGTATTTCTGTTAGCTCATGAAACATAGAAATCGGGTCACAATTTAGAGGATGGTGGTATGGCTTTTGTATTAGGTTGTGGGGCACATGAGTAATACAACAATTCTATATAGCTTCTGATTCCAAATGGCCTTCAACCCTTACTTAAACCATTGTGACAATTCTGATGCCCCGTGAGAAAGACAAAGCAGGAATTCTTATTTATAGGGGAGGAATCAAATTAAGAAGCCTGAGGTCACATAGTGATAACTGGCAAAGCTAGACTCAAAATTTGAGAGTGAGAGCAACTTAGGGAAAGGTTGCAACAATGAATAAAGGTAATGTGAAGCAAAAGGCATGTGATCTGTAGGAAGGAGTCTGATGATATAAAAACAACAAACTATCAGAAAGCATTGTCTTTTCAAGTTTTATGGTGAACTGAATGGAAGTTTACAGAGCAAATCAGTTTTCCATCAGTAATTCATACACAAATTATTTCAGCTCATTTATTGCAATCCCCACAATGTGGGGGCATTTGTTCTACTTCTCTGTTTTCCATTCCCGTTCCTTCTCCTTTCCTAACTCTTCTGAACTTTGACTTTATGTAAATACTGCCCTTTGATAATATAGTGAGGGTGCTAAGATGAATCAAGTCATATGCCATAGAGTTCTTAGGGACTGTCTAAGTTTTTGGTTATATTGGAGAAAGCACTGGGTTTGTTTAGCTTTTTTTGTTTGTTCAACTGGAGTGGTTGAAATAGTGCATTGAGTATAATGGATTTTGTTCGGTGGCATAGGGGAGGGCTTCAAAAAGTTGGTGGAAAGATCCGATTATCTTTTAAGTCAATTTTCCCATGAACTTTTTGGGTGGTGGGTCTGTTAGTTGCTATTGAATTAATTCTGACTCACAGTGACTCCTTGTGGGCAGAGTGGAATTCCGATATAGGATTTTCCCAGCTGTGACTTTTCAGAAGCAAATTTATCTTCAATCTTCAGAGGTGCCGCTGGGTGAATTCAAACTGCCAACCTTACTCTTAATAGTCTAGCACCTGTTAGTACCAACCAAGGACTCCAAGGGGACAGGACTAGGAAGGTGAAAACAGATGATGATGCGGAGAGTGCTAGGGACATGATGCGTTTGCAGTGCTATGGGAGATCATTGTGGGTCACCATTTATTCATGTGCCTGGTACTCTGCTAAGTGCTTGGAAAGCACTTTCCTTCCTTCCTTCATATATTAATTCAGCAACACTAAACAAAATGTTTGTGAATTGGGTGTAAGTTTGTAGAGCAGATGATCAGTGTTACATCCAACAATCAATATACCTTTCTTGCGCCCCAATCTTATTCTCTGCAGTTCCCTCAATGTACTATCACTTACTCCTACTTCCTGTTTCCCTTCCACCTTTCCTAACCCTCTGAACTTACTCCTTGCGTAAATACTCTCCTTTGGATCTTAGATTATTTGCCTGAAAATTGAGCCACGGGCGAATTTAATTCTGGATCTGAAGTGGGTCTAAGGGCCATGACTTTGGGGGTTTCACTAGCCTCTGATCAGTATGTTTGGTGTCTTATGATTTTGAGTTTCTCCATGTTTCTCCTACTCTATTCAGGATCCCCTAATGTGATCTTTTCCAGAGCAGGTGGTACCATTTGAGCTCATTGTTTTGGAGACTGATATTTTCAGATCTATTAGTCCATTCGACTGATTGCTTCCTGTGTCTTTATTTTCATCAGTTGTCTCTCCTCTGGATGGGGAGAGACCAGTAATTGCACCTTAGATGGCTGCTCATGAGTTTTTAAGACCTCAATCTCAGCAAATACTTCTTGAGTTCAGGTACAGTCCGACACTTTTCCTTCTGTGGGATAAGATAATTATGACATTGGTCTGTGAGGTTTTAAGAAATTCTCAATATGGTAGCAAAAGTAACATATGAGAAGATAATTTCAATTTAGAAAAACAATGTGAAATGTAAATATATATTGTGATAAGGTGATTACTTCTTTGTGTTTGACCTGTCTCTTCCTGTGGGTGCACATGCATGTTTTCTCTCTCTCTCCTTCCCTCCCTCCCTTCTTTTCTCTCTCTCTCTCCTTCCCTCCCTCCCTTCTTCTCTCTCTCTCTCTCCCTCCCTTCTTCCCCCCCTTTCACTCTATCTCCATCTGCACAGATTTATAACAGAACTCTTTGCCATGAAAGCCTACTTCCACCTCAATTTAGAGAAAGACCTCAGTGCATTTCCGTTCCTTTCCTTCCTTCGTCCCCTGCACTCAGTCACTGAGCCCTCACACGTCGTTGTCTCTGTTCTCTCCGTCCTCACTGCCACAATCTCACTGTGAGAGCTTTTGTTAGCTCTTAATCATCTCTTATTGTTTCCCCTTCATCAGTATCCTGCTTTCAATCATGCTCTTTTCTAGTTCATCCCTAGAATGATCTTTCTAAAAATACAAGTCTGGTCATGGAATCTCCTCTGCTTCAACACATTTGGCTCTTTGTATCTTGTGGGATAAGATCCAGATTCCTTAATATGGCATCATTTGGCCCCGGCTCACTTCTCCATTCTCCTCTCCTGCTTGCTCCTCCCTACTGTGTTCTAGCTGGAATAAATTGTTCACGGTTCCCTAACAAACATGTTACTTTCTTGAGCCTTGAGATCCTTGCAATACTGCTGCTTCTCCTAGGAATGCCTTTTCTTCTTTGCCTGGTGACCTTTCCTTACTTTCAAAGACCACTTCAGTTTCACCTCCTCTTTGACATCTTCTTTGCCACCCTCACACAACAGGGGTAGAAATAATCACGTGACGTGGGCATTCTTTGTTATAAAGGCGAGTCACTGTGTAAGAGGCTCACTCGGTGAGTTATAAGGGCTCTGCGGGTGTCAGGGACGAAGATCCCTACCAGCAGCAGAGGTGATATTAGGGGGAGAGGAGGGGGAGAGGAGGGTGAGAGTTTGGACTATACACTGAGGGATGAGTTTTTTTTTTAATGTTTGTTTTTCCTTCTTCCTCCATTCTTAGTTCTATGAGGTTTTAGGACATTCTACCATCATTATTTAGAGTGACAGCTCATTCACCATGCTGAGGTCCCTAATCAGTCATTTTGCCTAGGAAGAGCCATTGTAGGGAGAGAGAAGCCTTAGGACTCAAATGGTCTGTTCTTAGGAGGTAATTTTGGTCTCTCCTCTGATGTAGATGTTGCAGGTATATCCCTTCCCCCAGCTACTTTTTTTTGCCTCTCCCAGGGCAAAGGTTCCTAAGTGAGGTTGAACCACTCGCTGCTCTGTGTCCGCTGTCCTGGGATTGATTGACACCCTTGCTGAAGGTGACTATGAGACTGTATTTTGGACTCTAAGGCCATTGTCTGGGCTTAGCTTATTTGTAAGTCTGCAAGATTAGTTACTTTTCCCCTTGTTTTTTCCTGTGGTTCAGCCTGACGGTAAGTCTAAAAATGTTTGCCTTTTTCTGGACTTTTGATATGAGAGCAAAGAGCATAGTAGGAAATTGGGTTTCCAGTTTCTTCTTTTGTCTTAGGCTGGACTTTGCAGGGTTTGGTGTGTGCGTACGTGGGTGTGTGTGGGTGGGGGGTGTGTGTGTGTAAATAGCAGCAGTGAACTATGACCTTTTTGTTTTTGCAGTGTGAGCAGAACTCAATGTTCACTTTTGAGTTCTGAGCTGATTCCAGTGTGGCTCTTCCTTTGAGTTTTTAAAAGAGAAGGAAAAAGCAGCCTGCTCCTGTAAGGATTTAGTATCACAAACCCTCGATTTGGGTCACTCTAAGTCAGAATCCAGTCGATGGCAGTGGGTAGATAAGAGAAAAACGGATGGCACAAACAAGTAGGAGGAGCAGAATTGGAAAAGTTAAATCTGAGATTCGCCTTAGCACATTTCATGTGATACTGAAATTATATCTACTGGTAATATCTCTGCCAACAGTATCATTTATTCTTTGAAATACTAGCTCCAACATAGTACCTAACATTCAAAATGCTTGTAGAACTGAACGCTGAATTAATAACAGCTCACGTCTGCTGAGCACTTATTGTGCAGCAACCTCTGTTCTAAACGTCTGCCATCTCCCTCCCTGCTATCCAGTCAATCCTGACTCAGAGCAGCCCTGTAAAACAGCGTAGAACCGGCCCGCTTGAGTTTCTGAGGCTGTAACTCTTCACAAGAGCACAGTCTCATCCTGCTCCCTTGGAGCGGCTCAAGGTTTTAAACTGCCGGCCTTGTGGTGACTGGTGGTTTATTGTTTGCAGTCCAGTGCTTATCCCACGGTGCCACCAGGGCCGGGCTTATTAAAACAGCTTTGACAAAACCTCTCTCTTCTATCTCATATTACAATAGGATGTATTTTTAAAGACATCTGATTTTGTCATTTCCTTGTTGAAAACCCTTTGTCCTCAGGATGTCAAAAGCTAAAGAAAAAAAGGTGAAACTCAAAACTCATGATATTACTGATGTTTATAATCTTCACCCCTGTTTGACTTCCAGCTCTTATCACGCCTCACTTCGTAAATAATCTATGATTAAGCCAAACCAAACTTGCAGCTGTTCTTTAAATTTGTCATGTTCCTTTACAATGCCATATTTTTGTACATACTGTTTTTAATAGGAAGGAAGCTTTTCCCTTTGCTCTCTTAATAAAGGTACTATATTTATATATGAAGTATATTAATAGTGAGATGTGTGAGCAGTATCTCGTAATAAAGGTATAAGCTAGTCACCCTCTTGTGGGACCTTCTCATATTGCCCTGTGCAGAACTAGTTACCTTCTTTTCCTGCCTCCATAACACTTTGGCACATCTCTCTCTAACCTTCATTAGAGTTTAGGGTTATGCACCCCCCACCCCCCTTTTTTCCCCAGCTCAGAATTTTCAGTGCTTCACTCTCACAGTGTCTAGTGGACATTAGGAGGAATGTACATTGAGTTCACTGATGAGTGCGACTTGCCTGCTCCTTGAAGCGCGACCCTCCCCTTGAAGGCTTTCTCTAATCTTGCTGGAGGTTTCTTTAAGCAGAGTTGCAACCCTCCTTTAGCAGTGAGTGGCAATAGTGAACTAGAAAGAATATATATCTACGTGAAAGAAAATGGTGACTAATATAATCCAAAGGCCAATGTGGGGCTAGTGCCAGGTTTCTGGATTCCTTTAGCTTTAGTTGAATATCAAGAGGAAGAACAACTGAACCACACCTTTCCTCTGAAATTTTTAATGGAAGAAAGAGACATTGCTGGTAAGTGGTATGTGTGAAAGGGAAGGAACTATGGGCTATAGCCAGGATGAAAACGACTTAGGTATTTTTCCCCTTGCTAAAAGTCATCTCGACTATTATTCTCTTGTGATAATGTCTTCTCATGTCTTGGGAGTGGAATTGGGTAAGTCTGACAGAAGGGAGAGATGTGTATGTATATGGGAGTGTGTCTGTGGGTTCCTGCTAAAATGACAAGAGAGCTTAGTTCTTCTGGGCGACTGGGTTTCTACCTTTTTAATCATTTTTATCAAAGAACAAAAAAATCATTTCACTGTGAATGAGGGGGAGTGCGGAGTGGGGACCCAAAGCCCATCTGTAGGCAACTGGACATCCCCTTACAGAAGGGTCATGGGGAGGAGACGAGACAGTCAGGGTGCAGTGTAGCAACGATGAAACATACAACTTTCCTCTGGTTCCCAAATGCTTCCTCCCCCCACTATCATTATCCCATTTCTACCTTACAAATCTGACTAGACCAGAGGATGTACACTGGTACAGATAGGAACTGGAAATACAGGACCAGTGGTAAGAGTGGTGATTCCGGGAGGGTGAAGGGAGGGGGAGAGTAGAAAGGGGGAACTGATTGCAAGGATCTACATATAACCTCCTCCCTGGGGGACAGACAACAGAAAAGTGGGTGAAGGGAGATGTCGGACAGTGTAAGATATGACAAAATTATTAATTTCTAAATTATTAAGGGTTCATGAGGGAGGGGGAGCGGGGAGGGAGAGGGAAGAATGAGGAGCTGATGCCAGAGGCTTATGTGGAGAGCGGGTGTTTTGAGAATGATGAGGGTAACGAATGTACAAATGTGCTTTACACAATTGATGAATGTATGGATTGTGATAAGAGTTGTATGAGCCCCCAATAAGATGATTTAAAAAAAAAGAATGTTGCCATTTTAAGGGTCCCTGATGGCATAGTGGAATAAGTATTAGACTGCTAACTTCAACAGCAATGGCTTTGTCCATATTCCACAGGCAATCGGACGAGGGTCCTTAGGGAGGGAGCAGTGATAGGCAGAAAAAATAATTTCTTCCTCAAAAGTTCCAGAGGGCTTGAGTCAGGTCATAGGTGGGTTTCTTATTGTCTGTTTGTTTATTGGTTTGTTCATTTATCCATTTACTTATTTCATACATACAACAAATATTTATTGAGCCCCTGGGCTCTGCGCTGTGGGTTAAGTATTGGGTTGCTGACTGCAGAATTAGCAGTTCAAGCCATCCTTGCTTCACAGGAGAAAGATAAGGCCATCTGCTCCCGTAAGAGACGTTCTTTGGTCAATAGGGTACCTGTTCGAACCAACTGAAGAGTGAACTTAGGCACTGCTTTAGGCACTGGAGTTAACAAACAGAGACATCCTGACCTTAAAAAGCTTGCTTATATCCCAGTATGAAAGTGAGACACATTATTTCAGTTTTCAGTGAACACTACAAAGAAAGTAGACCTAGGAGATGGAAATTAGCAGTGGAAAGATGTTCTACTTAGATAGACTTGTTAAAGTTAAGCCTCTCGGAGGAGATGACATTTGAAAAGAGCTGAATGATGTGAGCAATGTGAAGAGCAGGAGAGGAGTATTCAAGGCAGAGGGAGGGAACAGAGTATTGAAAAAGAGCAGTATGACTCAAGTATGAGTGACAGGACATAGTTCAAGATTAGATTATGTGGGATCTTAGAGGCCAAGGCAAGCCATATGGATTATTACCAGTACATTAGGAAATCATTGGAGGATATTCAGTAGGGGAAAGGTTGCTTTTTTTTTTTTTTAACACATACACACACACATATATATGCTTTAAAAATATATATATATATATCATTGGTTACTATATAGGAACTATACTCAGCGTGGCAAAAATGGATTGGAAGCTATTGCAATTGTGAGATAGGTTTTGAGGGTGGAGATGGTAGCGTTTGTTGCTAACTGGGGTATTTATTAGGGGTAAGGAAAAGAAGATACGAGAATGGTGCCCAGGTTTTTGGCCTGAGCAGTTGGTTGAATGTTAGTATAATTTTTTGAGCTAGAGAAAACTGGGGAGATTTGTTGGAGAAACAATGAGTTCCCTTTAAGACATGGCATGCTAAGTTTGAGGTGCTCGTTGGCTATACAAATGGTATATAGTAGTGGTTTCTGTCTCTTCCTGCTGGGGAGTGGAGAAAGGCTGACTTCTGTTTATCCTTTCCATGTTCTTCTTTGAATTAGATTGCTATCCTGGACTGGGCACTGACCTCTGGTGTCTACTCCAGCGGGTGTATGCTTTGGCTCCATGGCCAGCTACTGGCTCTTACAGACCGGATGAAGCAGACCGGAGGCACAAGCGGAGAAAGCCTCCAGCTGGCACAATCCCAGAGTGTGGCCCTCTGGCTGCTGGCTCTGTCCAGCCTGCCTCATGGAGAGGATGAATTGGCTGAGCAGACTGGCCTCCCGGGGCCCTGGGCACCGTGTACCTCAGGGGACCAGTCAGCAGACCCCTGTCATGGCTGATCCTGAGACCTGCCTCATGGTCTTCAAGAATCATTGGTCCCAGGTAGGAGATTGTATGCCAGAAGGCCAGGTCCACTGGCTGCCTCCTGCATTCCCTACTGCCTTGCCAGCTCCTTCAGTCATCTTACTATCCTAGATTCCTCCCCTCTTCTGTCCTGCTTCCCCAACACCACCCCTCCCCCTAAAAAAAAAAATCCTAACTCACTGCCACCGAGTGGATTCCAACTCCTAGCAACCCTTTCTCTGCAGGTGGTGCGAATCCTGGAGCGGCGGAGTCCTGGGGCAGCAGCTCCTGGGGGTGCAGATGATCTCAGTGCTGTTCGAAATCACACTTACCAGATGATGACCCTGTTGGTAGAGGATCGTGCAGTCCCCTCAGCCCCCACAGCCCCCGGGCCCCTGCTGGAGTTTGCTCTGCGTGAGGATCTGCTGACCCGAGTATTGGCATGGCAGCTGCAATGGGATGAGTTTGGAGATGGGGTCGAGGAACGGCGGGCTGAACAACTGAAACTGTTTGAGATGCTAGTGAGCGAAGCTCGCCAGCCCCTGTTGCGGCACGGTCCAGTTCGAGAGGCTCTGCTGGTCCTGTTGGATGCCTGCGGTCACCCTGTGCCCAGTAGCCCAGCACTGGATGAAAGCTTGGTGCTACTTCTCAGCCAGCTATGTGTGTGTGTGGCCCGGGAGCCGTCATTGCTTGAGTTCTTCCTGCAGTCACCTCCTGAACCTGGAGCTGCCCCCCGCCTTCTTCTCTTTTCTCGCCTTGTCCCCTTCGTCCATCGAGAGGGCACTCTGGGCCAACAGGCTCGTGATGCCCTACTCCTGCTCATGGCTCTCTCAGCTGGGAGCCCCACTGTGGGCAGCTACATCGCGGACCACTCTTACTTCTGCCCGGTCAGCATCCCTGGGATAGGAGTGTGTGGGTAGGGTATGGTGTGTAAGATACCCAGGACATGTGGAGGGGTTGTGTACCAGCACCCTCTCTTCTAGGAATTAGCCTCCTGGGTCTGAGGGAGTTGAGGTCGGTTTGAGACATGGGCTTAAGTGGGTGGAGCCAGGTGCTAAGGTTCTTTGTGGACCAGAGTTCCCACGTGATGTCCTGCCATATTAGGTAACTAAATATGCGGGGGTTCCAAAGAGTTTGTGGGAAAAATCCATGATTTTTTAATTCCAGTTTTTTCCCCTGGGAACTTTTTGGAGCACCATGTATCTTTTGTTCCTACTCCTATCCAAACTCTGAATTAAGAATTTCCTTGTCCCCGTTCTTTATATTGTCTGAATGTTTGGTAATCTGCCTTTGGTGCTGACCCCTAGGTGCTGGCTACAGGACTGAGTGCCCTGTACTCCTCACTGCCCCGCAAGATCGAGGTTCCAGGGGACGACTGGCACTGTCTGCGACGAGAGGACTGGTTGGGAGTGCCGGCTCTTGCACTCTTCATGAGCTCCCTAGAATTCTGCAATGCAGTCATTCAGGTACAACGGGTTCCCTGGAGGTCTGGCTGTGGGTCATCCTGGAGAGATGGGATAAAGAGGGGACATTCTCTGGAGTTTTGCTATCTGCCATATTGGCCATAGGGCGCCTCCCTGTATTGTACTATTTCATTCCCTTCCACACAGTGGTCCCCTGCACAGTCTTCCTTCCTCTGTCTCGCACCCCTACAGGTGGCTCACCCCCTGGTGCAGAAGCAGCTGGTTGATTATATCCATAATGGGTTCCTGGTGCCTGTCATGGGCCCTGCACTGCACAAGGTGAGAGTCATGGGTGGCAAGGCAGATTAGGGGTCAGGCTGAGGGGTGGTAACATCAATGTGGGACCAATGTGGGAAGCAGTGGGCTGAGTCTTCCTCATTTTCCCCTCTCGGTTCCTGGTTCCTCCTTAGACAAAATCAGGGACAATGCCCCTCTGCTCAGTGTATGTGGAGGAAAGTCCTACATTTCCGACTTTCCCCTTCCTTCCTCCAGACCTCTGTGGAGGAGATGATCGCCAGTACCGCCTACCTGGAACTTTTCCTACGGAGCATCTCAGAGCCTGCCTTGCTCCGTACCTTCCTGCGATTCCTGCTATTACACCGGCATGACACCCACACCATCCTTGACACCCTTGTTGCCCGTATTGGCAGCAACTCCCGGGTATGGCCCCTACCTCTGTCCTGGCTTACCTGGGTGAGCCACCTCTCTCTGATCTTTGTTCTGGGAGGGTATTCTCGTCCTTTACCTTTGGCTTTTACCTCCAATTACTTCAAAATTAGTGGCAATAAACTTAGCCACTTAGGTACAGGTTTTAATTCACTTTTGTAATGTATGGATCTGGAACACCGAGGTACCCTTTTTTGGGTAACTGACTGTTCATCATCATGAAAGGCTTTTCCATTGTGTGCTGCTTGTGATACACTACTGGTCTAGGTTCTCTTCAGCTATTTATGGCTCTGTGGCCTGCTATAGGTGACTCAAGATTACTTTTGTAAGTTTAGTGTCTGCTCTGGTGGATGATCCAGTGACGCTTGGCATCTTACCCTGTCTTTCCTTTGGAATTTACTGCGTTTGAGGTGCCACCTACCTACTTAACCTACATTCCTTCTTTGCAAATAGTTTTATGGTTTTGTTACAATGGTTCCTACGATTTGCCTGTGATGGGGTGTAATGATGAGCACGGTAGATGTGGTTGCTGATAGTATTGAGCTTGCTTTATCATGAGGAAGATCGGCAAACACATTAAGGAAATTATTGAAAAATATATTAAGCACAGGGTACTTAGGAAATAATAGGAAAGGTGATCAAGAAAGACCTCCGATGAAGTGACATTCAGCTGAGAGCTAAAGGTCATGAAGGAGTTAGCTATTGAACAAGCCATTGTTCATGTTGTTGAACAACACTCAGAGGGTGTCAAATGGGGATGAAGTGACTGTATTTGAAGAAAGGAAAGACCGGTCGGTGTGGCTGGAGTTGCAGTGAGCATGGGAGGGTGAGTGGGGGTGGGATGAGAATAGAAGGTAGGGAAGATCTAGATCATGCATGCCTTATAGACCTAATAAGTTTATATTTTAACAGTAAGCATGTATATCAAATAAGAGTATATTGTTTGCAGGTAATAAGATCTGGAGGCTTTCTAGGGGAATAAAGCAGGAGTTTTATGCATAGACTTGCTTCTGGTGTCTCTTTTGGCTTAGGGACTATGACTGTTTTCCATTTCAAATCGTTGAAGTACTTGGACCTTTGTGTTTAAAATAGCAGAGGCTCTTGGATTATTAAGAGTTCTAGAAAATTTCTAGGTAATTGAGGCACAAGGGAGCGGAGTCCCAGGTTGGTAAGTTTGCCGGATAGCTGATTTATAGAAATGAGGTTTTCTGAGTGAACTTGCGTTTGTGTGCGTTATTACAGACTGACTGATTAAACTAATCTGTCTAAACCAGGTGTACACTTTAGAATCATCCCCGGAGCTTTGATAATAAATATGACAATAACATTTACTGCAACAGTAATAGTTTCAAAGACTTCATGAGATTTCTTGAATTATAAACCCTGAGAGTAGGCCCAGGCCATGTGTATTTAAAATGTTCTGAAAAGTAATTATAATACTTGCCTTGGGTTGACAGTTACTTATCTAGGCCAATAGGTTTGTGTTGCTAGTATAAGCTATGTCATACAAAGGTATAAGAAAAGTTTTATTTATTTATTTGTAAGAGAGAACTTTATATCAAGGAGTAATTATGCATCGATAAAACATCCCAGCCCAGTCCAGATCAAGTCCATAAGTTCGATATTAGCCCATAAGTCCAATATTAGCCCGTGAATTCCTTTTCAGACTCCCACAGCACATGCAATGTTGCCAAATGCAGGATGATCGCAAGCCAGTGGGTGGAAAGTCCTGTGGATCCAATGGCAGTGTTCGCATCTCCAGGGCTTTGGCTTCCATCAGCGTGGTTCCATGTGGCTTGTCAGCAGGAAGGTGTAGGAGGGACAGAGAGAGAGAGAGGTAGAGGTTTGCCTCTTCCAGTGGCCAAAAGTTTTATTTTTTCAGTGTGTTGAAGTTAGATCATGGATTTATTTCAAACCTCATAGAAAATGTGCTCATGCTTAGAGATAGTTGCTTTCCTTAAGGTTTGTGTGTGTGTGTGTGTGTGTGTGTGTGTGTGTGTGTTTCCTCTGTTGAGCTCTGTCTTCCTTTTATTTTGCTCTTATCCTAACTTTTCTGTGATTCTTCTTCCAGTTGTCTTTAGTCCTTAGCACTTAATTCTATATGATTCCTATATGTCCCCTGGTCTCAGGAGGCTTTTAACTTCTTGGGATATTTCTTCCTGGTTCCTAGTTCTTGGAGGAGCCAGATCTCTTCTGATTTCAGGATGCCCATGTTAAATATGCAGTGCTTTGTTGTCTACTGTCTAGTTCAAGCTTAATTCTATTGGCCTGACTTTGTGGGAGAAAGACAGGGCTTTGTGCTCTTGTAAAGAGTTAGTCTTGGAAACTCACAGTGGCAATTCTCCTCTACCTGGCGGGTTGTTATGAGTCAGAATCGACTTGATAGCAGTGACGATTTATTGCTCCCCAAAAAGACCACACACTTGATGGCAAGCAGCAACATAGGTCTCACGTTTTAGTCTAACGTGGAGCTATCCGGCTAACGGCCAGGTGTTGACAGGGTAGCATTCCTTGCTGGAGGTTCTGGCCGACGATCCATCTCCTTGCTCATTTGGGTGTAGGACTGAGGTCGCTGTTTCCTCTCTGGCTGTGTGCTGGCCGAGAGCCAGTCCTAACTTGTAGAGGCCAGCCACACTTGACCTGTTGCCCCTCTTCAGTAATAAAAACCATTCCCGTGGGTCAGGTCCTTCTCATGCTTCAGACCTCTCTTCCAAAAAGGCTCTCTGATTTTTAGGGATTTATGTGAAATGATTGCACCCACTACAATAAACCAGGGTCATTCTGCTGTCTCAAATTTTGCAACCTTAATCACAGCTGTAAAGCCCCTTTGATGTGTATCATAGTCTGGTTCCTGAGATTGGGATGTGGCCATCTTTGAGGGTCTTATTATGTCTCCCACCCTGTCTTTCTGTGAGTTGTGAGTATTTTCATGGCTAGTTACAAAGTGGTCACTTTGGATAAGCCTTGTGAACATCCATTCTGGTCAAAATATGAACTGCGGTGTCATATCTTTTTCACTATGTTCTTTTAATTCTCTCAGTCATTTTGCAAATGTTGAGCACCTAGAACAGTGGTTCTCAACCTGTGTGTCGCAACCCCTATGGGGGTTGCCTGATTCATAGCAGTAGCAAAATTACAGTTATGAAGTAGCAACGAAAATAATTTTATGGTTGTGGGGGTGGCCACAACATGAGGAACTGTATTAAAGGGTCGCGGCATTAGGAAGGTTGAGAACCACTGACCTAGAATATGCCAGATAGGGCTCCGGATTCAGGTCAAATACATTCCCTTTTCACTTATCAATATAGTTAGGTTCTAGAGCCTCTAGGTTGTTAGGTGCAAATCAGTGTCCTGTGCAACGTCAACCAAATGCTCTGCAGGCTCCCGGAGAGAGTGTGGAGGCGATCACGTGGGGCTGCTCCCTGCTCTGCAGATGCTGCTCCGTCATACAGCTCCTTTGTACTTTGAGTGAGTTTGTTGGTGTGTGCCATTTCAAACCATAGCTGGGTCAGAATTTACAGCCAGGATGGGACCCACCCTACCCTGACCCATGCCTTACCCTGACCCATGCAGAGTTGTTTCTCTCCTTGGGAATGTTCCGGAAACTCACACCTACCCAGTTTCCTGCTTACTCGCCCCAGCACCCCCTATTGTCCAAATGGTGGCTCCTAAGATCTCATTTGACGTGACCACCGCAGTGCATCTTGTCCTTACGAGATGACCCTTCTGCTGTCATCTCGTAAACTTGGTGGCTTGAAGCCACAGCTCTACCACCAGCCTGTGAGCCCAACAGGGGACTTGGGGAGGTCTTAGGACCATGTATATAGGTTAATGGTCTGAGTTGCCAAGGTCTGCCCCCTGCCCCTGTAACTTTATTTGCATCCAAAACTGGGGAGAAGGTTATAATGGGGGAGTATCAAAGACTTGGGACTCAGGAGGGAGGCACTTTTTTCACTGGCTTTCAGGGGTTTTCAGTAAGTTTCTCACAGCTGTTATAAGTGGGCGCAATTCTGAGTAATGCGGTGACTGGGAAGAAGAATAGTTGTAGTCTTCATGCAGCCTAAGATATCTGTAGTACTTTTCCAAAGGAAGGCCAGAGGAAGCACTATGGGGATTCAGAGCAGGTAGGGAGAGCTTAATGTGTGTCTGTTCTCCTTGTGTAGTCAGAGATTTACAACCTTCCTTTTCTGTAACAAAAGATTTCCCCGGCTCTGGCCCCACCTGCTTCGTTATCCTGCCTGCTGCCCTTTCTGCTGTTTTTTCCCTGCCTTCTGAGAGATACTGGTGCTGGGGACATTGCTCTAACTCCTTGCTCACAACGCTGCCTACTTCGCAGGGCTTCTTTGAGTTTCCCTACGGTCCCTGCTGATGGGCCTTCATTTCGTTACCATGCTGCTGGTGTCTCCTGCTGGTCTCCTTTGTAGTGTCGCTCTTTATGAGTATTCATTCCATATACGGCCGACTGGAGCCTCTACTAGCTGGTAGATATTGCCACAAGAGCTGCTAACATGTGTATAGTCCATTGATACATAGTTCATTCCTATGTGTGAACAGTGAAATCTTGACCACAAAGATCATGTGGTCATTTGTTTAACTAATAGTAAAATGATTATTATGCGTCCTGTCCTGTTCACATTTATTCCTTTAGACCTGGTTGGGCGGGGACTGGGGCTGGGGACTTCCCATTTGGTAAACAAGCTTAGAGTGTAGAGAGCTCTTATGGTGACTCCCTCCCTCCTCCCCCCCCACCCCCAGCTCTGCATGGTCTCTCTGAGTCTCTTCAGGACCCTACTGAACCTCAGCTGTGAGGATGTCCTGCTGCAGCTGGTTCTCAGGTACCTGTGGGGGCAGCACTGGGGCTGGCTGACTCTGAACCCTCAGGGCCCTCAGGGCGTGTGCATTGCGGGGGGGCTGTGGGCTATATTGGGGCTGCTCATGTATTTCCTCTTAGAGGCTGGCTTAGCTATAGCGTGCCTTTGAGTTGGATCAGGGCCTGTCTTCCTGATCCACCCTGTGTCCTCTTTCTGCTCGCTTTTCCAGGTATCTTGTCCCGTGTAATCACGTGATGTTGAGCCAGAAGCCAGCTGTGCGTGATGTGGACCTATATGGACGAGCAGCTGACAAGTTTCTCTCCCTAATCCCACGCTGTTGCCGCCACTGTGCCCCTAGCCCACCTCGTCCAGAGCATGCCTCGTGGGCAAGAGGTGGGCCTTGCAGAGAGGCAGGGAGAAGGGAGGACACCATGGGTATGGGCTGGGTTCTGGAGAAGCCTAGCAAGAAGGTAGGGATAGGTGGAGGTGGGAGGTGGCTGTGAGAGGCATATTCTGCCTTTGGGGAAGTTGATGAGAGGGATCTTTTGGAGAGAATCCTTAACCCGCCAAAGAAATTTAGGGTTAGTCTTTTGAGCAGAGCTACTCCTGTTCTTCATCCAGTCCTGTACTCTTCCTGTTTCTATCATTTCTTTAGTGTCAGTGATTGAGAGAGGAGGTGAAGAAAAGGTTAATCTGGAATGTAGAGTGTCAACTGGCTGAATAAGTCCTTGTGTCTGCTCTTTCTCCTTTGTTATTCTTCCTAAATGTTCTATCCTTCCTGCACTTTTGTTTCTTTGATTCCTCTTAGGGTTTTTTTTTCCCTTTGCAGGTCCTGGAAGTCCAAGTGTTGATTCCTCTTCTGTGGTGACAGTGCCCCGGCCCTCTACACCATCTCGTTTAGCTCTCTTCTTGCGGCAGCAGAGCCTAGGTGGCTCTGAACCCCCAGGTCCAGCCCCTCACTCCCCAGGGCTTGCTGCCTCCCCAGCCTCCAGCCCTGGCCGACGGCCCAGCCCTGCAGAGGAGCCTGGTGAGCTGGAAGACAATTACCTGGAGTACCTGCGTGAGGCACGTCGTGGTGTAGACTGCTGTGTTCGAGCCTGCCGCACCTGGTCTGCCCCCTATGATGGCGAGAGGCCCCCTCCTGAACCCAGTCCTGTTGGCTCCCGGACTAAGAAACGCAGCCTACTGCCCGAGGAGGACAGGGACAATATGGGAGAAGGGGAGGAGGAAGAGCTGGGGAGTGGGGGGCTAGGTGGGGGTGCAGGGGAGGGTCCTGGCCACTGTCTCCCTCCCCAGCTCAATGGGATACCAGGACCATGGCCAGAGGGGCCCAAGAAGGTTCGTCGGGTGCCAGAGCAGGGAGCTGGGGAACTGCTAGAGGGCTCCTCTGAGGGCATGGCAGCACTGGAAGGCTTTGGGCAGGAGCTCCGGGAACTGGAGGTGGCGTTGAGCAATGGAGGGGCTGGCTCAGAGCCGCTCCTAGAGCCTCCGCTACCTCTTGAGGAGGAGGAGGCCTATGAGAGCTTCAGCTGTCCCCCTGAGCCCCCTGGCCCCTTCCTCAGCAGCCCTTTGCGGACTCTCAACCAGCTGCCAAGCCAGCCTTTTACTGGTAAGCTATTTAACCTCGGCCTTCATCTTTGTGTAATCTCTGCATGTTCTCAGCACGTGTGTGCTGATTCCCAAGACTTCTTGGCTCATGTCATTTCCATGTCTTTGCCTAGCCCCGCATCATCCATTCTGCTCGGATCCCTTCCAGATATGTATCATGTTATCTGCGAATGCCTGTATGTCTGTCTTGCTTGTGCTCAATTGAATAATGTCTGAGCCTTGTATGTCCATTATGTGCATGTTCCTCATCTTCATTCTGGCCATTTCCTGGATTTTGTGATCGGGATACTCTGTTTGGTGTCTCTGGGTGAATCCCAGCATCATGAGCTATTTGGCAGATACATGTGCTCTTTTTTTGAGAAGCACCTGTATCCCTATTTCATGTTGGAGGTCATTTGGTTCCCCTAGTATATCTACTTGTGTGCTCACTCTCTGTCAGCTCTCCTCTAATCCCCTCTTCTGGTCTTCTTCCTCCTGCTCTTCTTGCTTTGTTAAAGAGAGTTCCCATGTCCCCTTGTCCTGCTCACATCTGTGGACCGTGCTAGTTTGCCATGACTATCCACTGAGACAGTCATGTTAAGGATTTACAGTTAGTAGAAAGGATTGGAATCGTTCAGATGAAGTGGAGCGGTGTGCTCCTAGCAGAGTTCCTTTGGTTGCTCTAGGATGTGGATGGCACTAGATCTGACCTGTGTGACTAAGCTACCTCCTTTTTTGCTTTTGCTTGCGAGCCAGCCCACCTAGCCCAGCTTTTGTCTTCACTCTCTACCCTGTACCAGAAATAAAACCAAACTCAAAATACACAAGTCAAAACAAAGCAAAAAAACACCTCTGGAAAGGTATACTCAGGTCCCAAGCTTTGGTTTAGACACATTGTGAGTTAGTAACCCTGTTATGACATTGATGCTTGTAAATCACTAGGCATAGTTCTAATGACAGACACACTGTGAAAATTCAGCAAGTGATGGTTTCTTGTTACGGTAATTAACTCTTGCTGCATGGCAGATTGACGTTGACTAAGGACCTCTGTGTGGCGTAGTGGTTATGTATTGGGGTGCGATTTTCAAGGTCAGCAGTTCAAAACCACCAGCAGCTCCACGGGAGAATGAGGAGGATTTCTACTCCTGGACACAGTTAAATAGTCTTGGAAACTCACGGGGGCAGTTCTACCGTGCCCTACAGGGTTGCTAAGATTTGGCATCAACTTGATGGCCGTGAGTTTGGTTTTATGGAAAGCAACCATGCTTCTTGGAATTGTTTGCAGTGTAGTTATCGTATCTTGATTAGTATATGTCCTGTTTGGGTCTGGAATATGCTAACTGTTCAGCTTGCACAGTATCGGGGCTTCTGCTTTGGAATTGTACAAACTCTCTCTAATTGCAGATGAAAGAAAACACACTCCATTTTTTTTAACCCTCTACCTGTTCTTTCCTACTTTGTACCTTTGGAAGGCGTGCATGCTTTATCATGGTTTTATCATCAGGAAGCATTAGCTGATGTATGTATGCTTTTTCCTCTTGATAAGCCTATTTAATATCCCTGTCAGTACAGTATTTAAATCAGGCGCCCTTAAACTACTGCCCGCGGGCCACATGCGGCCCGCCGAGGACAGTTATCTGGCCTGCCGGGTGTTTTTGCCCCATTTGTTTTCTTACTTCAAAATAAGATATGTGCAGTGTGCATAGGAATTTGTTCATAGTTTTTTTTTTTTTTGTAACTAGTCTGGCCCACCAACGGGTCTGAGGGACAGTGAACTGGCCCCCTGCTTAAAAAGTTTGAAGACCCCTGGAAATGGTTAGCGGCTAATTGAAAGTGTGGAAGTGTGAATCCACTAGCTACTTCATGTGAGAGAGATGTGGTGATCTGTTTCTGTAAAGATTACAGCCTTGGAAACCCTATGGGGCAGTTCTGTTTTATCATGTGGGCAATATGAATTGGAATCAACCAGATGGCAACAGATTGTAAGCTAATTTGAACTTTAAAAATTCTTGCAAGAAAGTTCCAGGAAAAGGAAGGCCTAGAAGGACAGAGTTATGGTGTCTATCTTAGGAACGTTAAACTAGAGTTGTTTTTCAGCTAAGTGTGTACAACTGGAGTGAGAGATGTTCTGATTTCTTCTTTGACCTTCTTTGTTTTGTCTTATTCTTAAGGCAGTCATTAGAAACAGTCCATTTCCCCTCACCAGTTCCTGAGCAGGACTACTGATGGTCCCAGCGCTTAGTGCTGATGAAAAGAGTCTTTGAATGAATTCCTTCTGCTATCTTCTTCTCCATCACTCACTCTGTCCTGAATCCACTTTCTCTGGTCCTGACTATACTATTGATTTTCTACAGATTCTTTTCCACCTTCTTGGTTCCCAATTCCTGGCAAACAGAGCTAATTTCAAAATCTTTGGCACCTCAGATATTTCTTGCCTAACTTTAAGTTTACCCTTACCTCATTGTCAGTTTCTTTGCCTCCTTCTTCCTTCTGACCCAGCTCCAGTGTTGTCTGTTGTCTTGTATGTAAACTGATTTTTCATTTTGGTTCTAATCATTTTTCCCTGCCTACTCTGGCTTGAATCTTTTTTGTGTTAAAGCTGAGAAATATTATGTAGTCTGTAGTGGACACTTTAAAAATTCTTTAAATCTTGGGCTAACTCCTTTATATCAGTAACTATCCCATCGATCCTCTCAGTAACCTATGCGGTGGGTATGTTTTCTTGTTTTACTTAGTTGGAAACCGAAGCTTAGAGAATTGAAGCTTACCAAATAATACAACTAGTGAAGGGTGTAGCTAACATTTACAACCAGGTCTGACTCAAGGGCTGGCTCCTCAGCGAGTATGAATGTAAAACTGGTATCTGGACTCATCTAGATTCACATGGTGTCTGCCATCTTACTCAGATTAGGTGCTCATGGGATATTTAGACATACCCCGAGGCTTGTGTAAATGCCATTCATCTAGCGGGGTCTCTTGTTTGGGGAGGAATGCCGGCAGGTTGCTTGTGTTCAGGCCTTGTGTCCTTGTGCCCATCTCCCAGGCCCCTTCATGGCTGTGCTCTTTGCCAAACTCGAGAACATGCTGCAGAACTCCGTCTATGTCAACTTCCTGCTGACGGGGCTGGTGGCCCAGCTGGCCTGTCACCCCCAGCCCTTGCTCCGCTCTTTCCTGCTCAACACCAACATGGTCTTCCAGCCCAGTGTCAAGTCCCTGCTGCAGGTGTGCGATGCATGCATGCATGGGTGCGTCCAGGCTCCATGGTGGGCCAGGCCCACAGCTGGAGTGACCCTGGGAGGGCGGGGAAGAGTGAGCCTAGAAGGGACTATGTCTGTCAGGCCACTCAGAAATGTCATGAAGTTGTACTTCATAGGTGCTGGGCTCTGTGAAGAATAAGATTGAGAGCTTTGCGGCCTCCCAGGAGGACTTCCCAGCACTGCTTTCCAAAGCCAAGAAGTACCTCATTGCCCGCGGCAAGTTGGACTGGATCGAGGGCCCTGCAGCAGGATCTGCCCCCCGCCGCTCCGATCCCCTAGGTGAGGCCTGCCCCGCTACCTCTGTCCTTACCCTGTAGACAGCTACCTAGCCTAAATTAATCAAGCCCTTAGTAAAGGGGAAAATTGTGCCAGGAACTGGGGAGTTTTAGAAAATTGAGTCTTGATTTCTATTCTCAGGCTCCTAGAATGAAACACAGCTCTGTCCAGTCAGAGCTACATTAACAGTGCCACCAAAAATTGCTCTGAGATGGGAATAGGCAAAAGGGACAGAGTAGACTGGTTGAGATGGTGTTACACCTTGGTAAAGGACACGGTATTTGGCCTGAGCCTTTAGAGATGGGTAGGACTTTTGTTCAGCATGGACCATTAAGCAGTTGGAGTCATTTTGGAAAGTGTTGGAACAGCTGGTGGTAATTCTAGAAAGAGTTGAAGCTGAGCTGGATAGAAGTTGTGCTCTTTCAAATCTCCAGAAAACCATTGGAGATTTTAAGTTTTTTAGATGAAAGGCATGGTGACGCATGTGGTAGGTGAATTGAAGCTAGAACATGGAGGCAGGGAGAGCCAGTCAAGAGGCGTTTATAATAATGCAGATAATGACCTGTAACACTTGAGTTAGAGTTTTGGAAATGGGAAGAAAGAACTGGCAGAATTTGGTGAGTGGATATCTGGTATAAGGAAGAAGGAAGACTACAAAGAGGTTTCAAAAAACTCGGGAAAAATTCCATTATCTTTTAATTCCGTTTTTCGTGGACTTTTTGAAGCCCCTGGTATGGCCATGAAGTTTTAAATCTAGATCTTTCATTTACCGGGTATCTGAGCCCTTGTTTTACACACACACACACACACACACACACACACACACACACACGACACTTGGTACAGGGTATAATAACTAGGAGAGATGATAATCAAGGGAGAAAGGTCCAAATCAACCCAGTGCTCTTGAATTCTGTAGGACAGAGTAGAACTGCTTTGTGTGGTTCCTGAGGCTGTAAGTCTTTATGGAAGTGGACATCCATATCTTTCTCCCACAGAGCATCTGGTGAGTTACACTGCTGACCTTTCAGTTAGCTCAACACTGACCCCACTGGGTCACCAGGCTGCATCCAGTGTCCCAGTGATGGTGGACGTAATGGGACCCAGGGCACGCAAAGATTCAGACAGGAAAGGGACTTGGTGCGTTGGTTTGTTTCTTTTCTCCTGTGAGGCAGAGGGTAAAGGGAAAATGGCATGAATTAATCCAGTTGTGAAGTGTGAGAAAGGTTAGAGGATTCATGCTATCCTTTATTTGCTAATCAAAATATGAAGCAAAATAGTATGCTGAAAACAAGCAAACAAAGGTGAGATGGGGCTTAAGGAGATCAGTGTGTGGGTTGAGAAGAGTACCATACACTTGGGAGGCTCCAGTGAAGATTTATGAACGCGCTCTCCTGGCCCACTGCTGTGACTGCTCTTGCTTCCACAGTCTTGGGACCGTGTTTACTCTGGACCCAGGGATACAAAGGTTAATAAGTCACACGAAGCTCATAAATTACTACAAGAGGTAGAAGACATGCAAACAAATTATTAAAGTCTGGTAAGGGCAATAATATAGGGAATTATTGCAGAGGAGGTTTTCCAGAGTGGTGGAGATAGGAAAATTAGTCCCAGAGGAATTTTTAAAGTGAGAAGAACAAAATGTAGGCAGAGGGAGCCACAGAAGCATGAAAAGTACCCGGAGAGTCTCGGAGAGCCGACGGAAGTTCTCTCTGGAGAGGGTGGGTGGAGCCTGTTTGTGAAGGGCTGTGAATGTCAGGTCTTATAGATGTGCGTAGAATCTAGGCCACAGACAGTGGTCATAGATCCAGAGCCTGGAATCTAGGCATTAGCATGGAAGGGAATGGTAACATTTTAAATGGCTCATTTCAGTCCAAGATGGCATGAAGTTTTCTGGCCACTTCTAGTGTGGTTGGCGTGGAGGCTGTAGGAGGGGCCTACAGGAGAGCGGACTTGGAGGGAGTGGACTGGAAAAAGTGAAAGCAGCCGCTGAGCGATATGATCGCGTGTTTGGCCTCTGAGTGATGAAGGGGCAGAGGATGATGGAGGGCTAGGCATTCCATAGAGGTAGCGGAAGGCAGAAGTGGGTCACTAGCTCCGGAGGGTAATGGGAAGCTTGAAGGAAGGGCTCGTTCAGACTAAGGAGAAATTCGTGGTGGTGATAGAATACTGATGGGAATGGGAGGGGTTGGAGGAGACTCCCTCAGAGTGAAGGGGACATGGGGAAGGAATTGGTTGGGATGAAGTATTTTCTACTGGGAATACTTGGGGTAGCTTGGGTTAACTGGGTGGGGAGACTAGATAGCGGGAAGAAGCTGGATAGGCAGCATTTTGATGGTCGAGTGAGAAAGAGCCTTCAAATTCATCTTGAGGGATGAGACAGGAAATGGTGTCTGAGATTAGTTTCTGGCCCACATGGTCCCTTTTTCTGTTCTCTCAGAACCCTAGTCAGGAAGTCTGTGAACCTAGGAGGTGGGGGAATCTCTTTTCCCAGAACTTGGGGAGATTCACTGACCCCGCACCTCTGTGATGCCCTTTTATTCCCAGTGAAAAGCCGAAGGCCATCCTTGGGGGAGCTGCTTCTGCGGCACACACACAGTCCAACCAGGGCCCGCCAGGCCGCACAGTTGATCCTTCAGCCTGGGCGAGATGGAGCAGGACTTGGCCTAGGTGGGGGCTCTCCTGGGACTTCCACTCCAGTTCTACTCCCTCGGGGCGGGGCCCCTGAGCGCCAAGGCGAGGCTCTACGTGTCAAGAATGCCGTCTACTGCGCGGTCATTTTCCCCGAGTTTCTCAAGGAGTTGGCTGCCATTTCCCAGGCCCATGCAGTCACCTCGCCTTTCTTGTTGGGGACTTCAGAGGAGGGGTCTGGCCCTCCCGCCTCAGGCGCTGGGCCACTCCATCCTTAACGCTCTTCCACGGACAATCAGGGCCGTGGGTGGCCTAGGTTGGGGCCAAGGTGCAGGCTCCTTTTTATGTTTGGAGGCAGTGGCAAGAAGACTTTTTAATTTATTTCAGAAGAATCGTTTTATGGAGAACTTACTGCGATATGTATAAAAGGGAAATCTAGTTTGTGTTCATTCTTCTTTCCCACCCTTTTCCATGGGACCTGGGACCCAAGAGGGCCGTGCAGGGTTGGGGAGGTGCTCAGGGTCATTTGCTCTCTGTTGAGGACACCGATGCCAGGTTTCAGGGGTCCTCCTAACTCCTAAGTGCCAGTCCCAGAGAGGGCAGGGGAGCTTGAAACCTAGAGAGAAAAGTAGGGACTCAACCCTTCCTGTGAGCCCCCGAAGGAAGAAGCAGTATGGGCTCAGGATGGATTGTGGGGAGCAGCAGCTGATGTTTATTGGGGACCAATATCCTGTGCCAGATTTTGAAGTCTTCGCCCCCTGCATCTCTCACCTCAGCCTCAGTCGTCGCTGTCGAACTCCGAGGATAGACCCTGCAGCAGGGGCAGGGACATGGAGTGCCGGTCGGGGTCCCCGGGGCCCCCACCCTGGACTCCTGGTGGGGGGCTGCGGGGGCTGAAGAGCCAGCTTTCTGCCAGGGTTGGGGATATAGGCACAGTTTGACTCATGCCCTGGTCTTTTACCTCCCTAGTCTCTCTTCTGGTCTCCCTATGTTGTCCCCACTTAGTACCCACCCCTGACTCCCACCCCCCCTTTTTCTCCCTCACCAGGGTCCATTGTGGAAGTGGGCACCCCCAAATTCCTGGGCTATAATCTCCAAGCCTTCTGTCTCTCTACATTATCCCATCCCTTGTTCCTATTTCCCCTGCAGTACCTGACAGCATCAGTGGTCCCCTTCGGAAGGGGTTTCGGCCCTTGTAGGAGAATCTGGTGGGTCGGACCTCTGGCCCTTCCTGGGGAGGTGGTGTAGGTGGGGTTGGCACCGGTGGAGGTACAGCAGCAGCTTCAGGGATATCAACAGGGACTGATGTGGGGACTAGAGGTGGCATGATGCTGAAGTTGGGTCTGATCCAGTTGGCCCTATGGGGCAAGGGGTCCTTGCTTAGGGGCTTCTGTGGTCCCAGCACACCCTTGGGTTGCAGTGAAAACTTGAGGCAGGAGAAGGCAACAGGCAGTGATCTCTGTAAGCGGAGCAGCTGGGGCTCACGGGCTGTGGGCAGTAGCCCTAGCTGCAGCCAGGAGCAGGAGAAGACCTGGTAGATGACATAGATGCTGTGAGTGCTCCGGAGCCAAGGCAGAGTCTGCTGGAGGCTCACCTGCCCTGGTGGTAGGAGCAGGAAGGCCACCTTCTTGCGCAGACCCCCCATATGTAGGCGGATTCGGCAGGGCTGCCCATCTAACAGTCGCATTTCTTCGTAGGTTATCTCTGCTCGGCCATTTGGTGAGTATTCTCTAGTACAGTGGGCAAAAGCACCTTCAGAGTCTGCCTGCTGCAGAAGACTTGGCAGTGGCCCCACTGGTTGCAGGGTCCTCCGGCTTTGGCGGCCTGGTAGAGCCAGGCGGGTATGGCCTGGGCGGGACTGTTTCACTAGCACCCCAAGTAGATCGTAGCAGACTGCATCCGACAGGAAAGGCACTGCCACTACACTGGACCCAAAGCGCTCCTCGATGACCTGCAGGTGGCCAGTTGATAGGTCAGGGACTGAGTGAGGGTCAAGAGTTAAACCAGTAGCCTACCCTCGACAGATCTTCCCACTGCGCACTGTGCTACTACATTTCTACAACGTGCTAGCTCGATTTCCTGCTTATCTCCCAGTGCTCTTCTGCAACAAAACGTTGACTGTCAATATGGCTAGTTGTGCTAGATACTGGGAATATATAAAAGGGTTACACTTATTCCTAATATAGTTTGTCTAATTGGGGAGTTAAAAATTAGTGAAAATCAAGATAGGTCACTTTGGGTAATGACACATGAATTAAAAATTTCAAAACACTTGCATAGCTTTATTCTTCGACTTAGAACTAACCTTTCCATGAAGCCTTGGCAAGTTTTTGAGTGTGCAAAATGCATTTCTAAAAGATAGCGCAAGCAAAACTTTCCACATGGCCATTAGCAGGAAATACAGCTCAGCTAACAAGTCACACTATAGTTCCCTTATGTCAGACCTAGGACACACTGGGGGAGCACAGTAATTGCCATGTTGTGGGCACAGGCGATTAGGACCGGAGTTAGCTCGTCATCTGGGGGAAGGGATAGCTAGTGGACTACAATGTTAGAACATGTTTTTCCTTTTCTTCCCCAAACTAAAGCTTTGTTTTGCCAAGTCATGAAAATTAACCTTTGCTAGATCTAAGTGCAGGGACCCATAATTTGCCCTTTCTCTGAATGCTTAGCTGTCTGCCCCAGCTCTGTCTGATGTCGTGGGTTCTCAGAGAGTCGTGCATGTGATGGTCTTCCTTTATTGATGTCTGTCTTCATGTTCAGTGTTTAAAAAGGCAAATTGCAAACACAAACCATACCCAGGTTTACTTTAATTTTATCGGGAATAAAACCTTGAGGAATTTGTAGATCAAATTAGGAGACTACGTGTACATTGTTGAATAAAAAATTTAAAGTTTCTGAAAACCATAGGGAGTAAGATACATAGAAGATGGAAGTAATTAGCTGTCTTTGATGGAAAGGGGGTCAATGATGATAACCTAAGCATTGAAGGAATTACTATCCAATAGGAGAGTTGTTTAAACCAGGTGACAACCAGTGAGAATTCCTGATCTTAAACCAAAAGGAAGACACATCATTGATTCCAGATTACTGAAATGTTGGGTTTGAAGGAGGTAGACAGGAAGTAGATTCAGAAAGCTCCTCAACATATGTGAAGCCTCGGGGTTCATCCTGAGGGTGATGTGAACCCACTTAAAGGGCCACTGGGTAGGAGGGCCGGGTCAGGTGAAGAAAGCATCTTTTGAATAGTAAGACAATAGAGGGAGGTAGGGCAGATACAGTGTTGGAAATGCCAGGCAAGAGGGATTGAGGACCTGAACTAGAATAATGGCTGAAAGTGAAGTGCGGTACTGTCCACCCTCAGCACCAAGTCCTGCATGGTTGAGGACCTTCTGGTGGCCTTGCCCACTTTACTGGCCGGCTGTAGAATTCACCAATTGCTCCGTAAAGCTGTTGTGGGAGTGCTGAAGGGTCGCAGTGAGAATTGCCTTGATAGCAGTGAGGTTTGGGGCCCTCTAAGAAAAGTAGCCACTGAGTTGTGTCTATACCGTGAACACGCTGATGTAACTTGAAAGACTAGTCTTGTCACCTGGCCAGGGAAATAAATACTGCTTGATCTGACTAGAGAACTCTTCCCTTATCCATCTTCTTCACTCTATGGAACACTTCTCTTTTCATAGAACAGTGCGTTACCAGCTGGGTCTTCAGGAGTGAATGCAGAACACCAGTGGGTTAGGAAGTCTCAGATGGGATGCTCCGCCTCATGCAGTGAAAGCATAGTCACTATGCATAACTACAGCAGCGTGCTGCTTTTTGTGCCTAGCCTCCTGCATGAGACAAAAGCAAGTGCCTCCAAGAGCCTCCCTCTAAAGGAGCTTAACGTTTAAAGTATCTGGTGCTTATGGACCATGTTTCTGACAAAAGGATGAGTTTCTACCTTAGCTGGAGGTTATTTTTTAGTATATAGACATTATTTTGCTATGGAAGTTCATTAAGTCCTTTTACGCCGGAGAGTCCCAGTGCTTATCTTAAAATAGGGAAATTTGAGGAGCTTAATTTTTGCTAGAGGAATCTGAGGCCACCACCTCCCATCGCAGGCTCCTTAAGACACGCGAGGGCCCTGTCATCAACCGTTTTGCATTCCCAACCAGATTTTGACCACTAACTCTTTGAACGCTGGTCATCTGTTTTTGCTTATTAACTTAGGTATTTCTTAAGCACATTTATGTATTAAATACTCCTCCACTATCCATGTGAATAAGATACTTGTCTAATCAGGTAGCCTTCCTGATCTACCCACCCTTAATGTAGCTCCTCTCTTCTCAGGTGTCAAAGCCATTGTATTTACCCACCTTATCCTTGATAAGGGTCCATGTAGTATCAGCTTCATCCAATGTCAGCAAGTGGGGGGTACCAACCAACATGGTGGGATTTGGAAGGGATTGGGCAGGGTGGTAGCTGCTGCAGGAACTCCGAGCTACCCAGGGAGGTGAGGCCCCAGGCCTTGGGCTCTGCCTTACTGCAACATGAGGTCATAGAGGTCTTGATCAGTGATGGGGCCTTGAGTAGGGAGAGGACAGTTTCCTAGCATCACTGTACATGCAGCCCAAGTACCCTTGAATCGCCTATGCATTCCACTGCTTACAGGGAGGAAGATACAGGTATCTGTCAGGGAGGGAGAGAGAGAGAGAGAAAGTGTGTGTGTAATTCTTGGTCTGAGGAGCTCTTTAAGAAAACAGACATAGGCCTTCCCTCCCTTCACTGGCTACCCTGAAGAGATTGTCTGTCTTATTAGTTACAGATGCCTTCTTCGTTAGATTGGATTTGTGTTTCGAAGGAATATGAGAGACATATAGGTCAGGACTTAGGTTTTAAAAATTGCTGATGCCTTTTAAAAGGCCCACCCCCAAAGATTCTGATTTAATCTGGATTATGCCCGGGCATCAGAATTTATAAAAGCTTCCCAGGAAGCTATAATGGGAGACCTGTAATGAAACCGATTATTAATGGGTGGGTTATAATTAAAATAACGACCAGGTGGTGTGTAGGGGGCTGTCATGTAGAGCAGTGTCCACGTGGAAAGTAAGAATTGAATTGGGCTAATGTTGCCTAGTAACTGGAGGGAGCTTTCGGGAAGTCAGAATTACAAAGGTATATTTGAGGAAAAATTCCATAATGCTCTGCTCCCTGCCCTAGGCAGATTTGTGTCTTAAGTAGCTACTCTCCACTCCAGCTCTGACCTGTGTGACTCTCTGTGTCTGTCCAGAGGCCTCAACCTAGCATTTTTCTGGAAAGGAAGAATTCTTCTGGGGTTAAGAATCACTCCAAAGAGTCTTGTTAGCAGTTACTTTCTCACTTGCCTTATCTGTCCAAGGGGTTCTTTTCCCTGAGTCTTTCTGGAAAATCTGTGTGCTAATTGAGTGCATCCTTTCCTAGTTT